TATATAGGCAGCAGCGGGTTTTTGATCAGTTTTTCATCCTCTTCTAGTTTCCAAACCCTAGGTCCGACTTCTCTCTCTCTAAACTCATCTTCTCTTTAGGTTTTGATCTACTTCTAGTGTGAATCCATCTTAAGTTCTTTGTAAGAAAGATAGAGGGCGGCTTGGGCTTCGTTCTAATCTGAAAAATAGTAGATTTGGAGCACTTGGATTTTGGGTCATCTTCTCCATTTGTGTTCTTCGTTCGAGGTAGGGATTCTCCTTGTTCTTTTTCAATACTTCGTCTATAGATAGACATGTGGTAATTTTTGTATTGCATGAAAATTGTATCATGTTGGTTTTTTTTGTATAAATTCATGAGGTTGAACTTCGGGTTAGTTGTTGGATTTAGATCTATTATCATTAGATGTGTTTTGGGGCTAATTGGATGTTAATTAGCATGTTGTTGTTGTAAGGAGAGGAAACCCTAATATTTATTTGGTTTAATAACTCAATAGAGGGGTTTTGATCATTGGGTAAATACTTGGGTATTTTGGGTTTTGAATGAAGCCATTGTTGTTTGTTGTAGATGATTGAACCTTTTTATCAATATTGGGAGAAGGGGAAGGAAATCCTATTTTAGTGATTATGATTTAATTTGTATAATTAAATTGGAATGGCGTGGAGATGAATGTAGTAGATCAAAATGAGCTTTGGCTTTATTGTCCTTGGATTTGATTTTGTGAAAAACAAAAGGAATAAAACCGGTTTTGAAAAATAAAGAGAGTTGGTTTTGTGAAATGGGAAAGGTACTTTGAAATGTGTATGAATGTTGGATTGTTGTATCTTATACTACTATGTTAGTATTAGTGATAAGTTGTTGATCTCATAATATTTGAGTCTGTCAATAGATGTACTATATACATGCATCTAGAGGTTTTGTCCTTGGTCGTCGATGGAGGATGACATGGTTGTGTTGAATTGTTGTGTATGTACTACACCATTGTTGATTGAATACTGTATGTGATGAAATGCTGAATTACATTAATGGTATACTGTTTGAGGAGAAGAGAGGGGTTGTACTCCAGTGTGTGAGAGAAGATAGGGGATGGACTCCACACACTTATGTGTTCATATATATATATACTCTGCGCTTATAATCAGAGGTATCATACCCTTCCAGCTAGCGCCTGGAGAACTGACGCGCTGATAATCTAAGGTACCATACCCTTCCAGCTAGCGCCTGGTAAACTGGTAGATTGTTGTGAGAAGTGTATCTTTGGCTTACTATGCATATAGCTAGTAGTGCAGAGTTGTTTTGTTAATGTTTCAGTGTATCTGGAAACATTGTGGATTGTATTGGTTATAGTGTTGGAGGGACGAGTTGCCTCATTGGTTTATTTTCTGCTTGTAGTTGAGTTGTTATCTCTTTTTATAGAGGTGTGCATGGATAATTTTGATAGAATTGAGATTGAACTGAAATGCCCTTTTATCTTTTGGAAGTGTAAAGAAAATCAAACATTTTAGAAATATGTTTTAAAAAGGCACATTTGTTGTATTTGTGGCAAATGGGAGAGAGTAATGGGCTTAGTGAATCTATTTTCCGAAGTAGTTATTAATGTTATAAAAGATTGGGAACGGGGGTTAATGAAAGGAAAATGGAAAGATGAATCGCTTATAGCGTTGAATTAAATGGTTGTTTTCGAGAAAAGTTCATATATATATATATATATATATATATTTTGTATAAACTGTCACATTATTATTATAGTATGAGAATGAGTGTTCATGATCATAGCTATCTGTAATGTTGTTATTGTTAAGGAGCATGTTGAGTTCCCTACTGGACTATATGTTCATCCCACGTTGTTGAATCTTTTTCAGGTGTTTAGCAGGGTGTGCTACAAGATTTGGATCTTCTTATTTGTTGGCCACGGGGCCTCAGTTATGTTGGCGGAATGCCATTGTTGTAAAGGGTTACACCCTTCTTCTTGTACTTTTAATGATGTAAGCCCAAGGGCAGGCGGAATGCCATTATTGTAAAAGGGTTACACCCTTCTTCTTGTACCTAAAGTGATGTAAGCCCTAGGGCAATTTATTATGTAATTTTCACGTTGCATACGAATGAGAGTATTGTTAATTACTTCTACGAATTGAATGTATGAGTTTATTTCCGCTTGTTATCTCTGAAATTGAATTAAGTTAATGAATTTGGTAATGGCTTCGAGTAATAAAAAGTGGGGCGTGACATTTGGGCCGGACAGAGTTGGCCGAACAAGGTTGGGCCACGGTATCACGGCCCCATCCTGAGAGGTTTTGCTCGGATAAGGGAAGGCGTGGTTGGATCGGGCTATTTGGCTTAGTGATATAGAAGCCGATCAAGTGGGATGTTTGGCATCAGGCGAGGTGTGGTTATTCCACGGTCCAAGAGTTAGCTCGGCAGGAAGGCCGATGGTAAACCAACGTGAGCTGTCCCGAGCTCGGCAATGCTGGGATGCAACCGAGCTCGGTCGAAACGGAGCGCGGCGAGCGGAGCGCTCTGGCCAGCTTCACAACGCGACTGTTGACAGCCGAGATGCTGAAGCCCGGCTACCGAGCTCCCAGTGGAGTGGGCTGGCAGTCGGGTTAGGTGATGTTCAGCAAGATTTGTGCTGACAGATGGGATAGCATCACCACGTGTTGAGAGATCACTGGGAGTAGATTTGGGGCGCAGAAGGTATATAAGCATGTCTGCGCCCCCCACGCAAAGGCAGATGAACATTTGGTAAGAAAAATACTTACACTCGACTCTCTCCTCTCTCTTGATCCCAAGGTGTGTGCTAACTTGATCGTCGGAGGGGTTTTCCAGCCATACATCGCCGGGTAGCTCACCGTCGTGGTGCTCGCAGGTCAATCGGACAGACAGGAGCTTGGAAGAAAGGAGTACGGGCTAGCTGGAATATTTGCTCCCTGTACAATTGGCGCCGTCTGTGGGAACTACATTCAAAACCTTGTCTTCCGAGTTCATCTGATCGCCTCTCATGGCGAACAACGACGAGATTCCGTTGTCCGCCATCGATGGAGCCACCCCGGAGTTTACCAGATGGAGAGATGGACCCCCCGCCGTTCTAAACATGGCGGACTTAGAGACTCCCTTAGGAGGACATTCCAAAGACGCGCGGGATAAGCGCGGAAGAAGCTTTGGTCATTCTCAGAGTCCGGACGGACACCGGCGGCGGAGAGAATCGCGCGCCAGATGCCTGGAACACAAGCTCAGGGACCAAGATACTGCCATCCGTAGAATCGCGACGGAGATGGAGGATCTTAAGTGGCATGTAAAAGGGAAGGGTGTAGCTGGAGTAGGAGACCACAGTGAGCGCACCCAACCCCGCCGTTCGTGCAGTCAAAGCCAGCGGCATACTTCGTCCATCTCAATCATAAGGAGTTATCAGGTCGGAGATTCCGACGCGCATGTGCATAGGTCCAGCGCGCAAGACAGCACCTATCAACCTTCACGTCCGGCGACAACGTCGAGGTATTCTTATTCCACTCGTTCAGAGGATTTGCGGGCAGTCTTGAAGAAACGGGCTCGCCAGCGGGAGGCCTAGAGGGTGCCGGCGTTCCAGTGGCTATCCTATGGGGTTCACGCCAGCGAGGAGGTCGGAATGCCTCCACCCCGCCCAGCCACGCCTCTCTTTATAGACACAGACTTGGCGAGGCTGAGCGCCACTTCTTTCTCCGTGGATATAGAGGCAGCGCCGCTTCCGGCGGGCTTCCACCAGTCAAAGTTCACGCTCTACGACGAAAAAATCGATCCGTATATGCATGTAAGTCACTTCCGACAGGTTATGGCCGGACACAGGCGGAATGATGCTCTTATGTGCCTAATCTTTCCGTCGAGTTTGGGCGAGTTGGATTTGAAATGGTTCGAGAGGCTGCCGGAGGGGAGTATCGAAAGGTGGCAGCAGTTGGCCGAAGCCTTTGTGACATGCTTCAAAACCAACACCAAAACACCAAAGGAAGTTGATCACCTACTGAGCGTCAAGATGGAACAGTGCGACACGCTCAAGGCATACAACTCCAGATATTGGGAGACCTTCAATGAGATCTTGGACTGCCCGGTCAACCTTGCAATCACACAATACAAGCGTGGTCTCCCGGTCGGACGTAGACTACGGGACTCGCTTACCATGCACCAGCCGACGTCCATGGGCCAGCTCATGCAACGCATCAATGAGCACATCCGAGTAGAGGATGATGCATCAGCATCTACCGTGAAGGCAACTCCGGCAGCAACAGACAAGAGGTCGGCTGGGAAAGTGCACGCGGTCGGACAAGAGTCCGGACGATCGAGTGACCGCGCCGAGGAATCGGATCGTGGCTCAAATCGTAAAAACCGAGGTAGGGGACGTCGGAATGACCGGGATGACTACCCTCGAGATGACGTAGCCGATGCAAACACAGAGTTGAAAGCAAGGACAGACATCACCACGGTCTTTAAGATTCCAATCTATCGCATACTTAATGAAATCCGTGACGAGGAGGATGTCCGGTTTCCTGCTAAGTTAGGCGATGGACAGAAGGGCTTCAATCCGAGGTAGCGTTGCATGTTTCACCGGGAGCGAGCCCACCGGACAGAGGACTGTTTGCCTTTGAGGCAACACTTGGAAAAGCTAGTCGCTGCCGGACACTTGGACCTTTACATTGATGGGGGCGTGAAGGCCAATCAAGCTCCGGTTGTCCCACGGGGACCGGATGACCGAGATGCGCCTCCACAAGGGATTGTTAATGTCATCCATGGCATAGTGGAGCCGGCGCGTGTATGCGGGCTCCGAGGTATGATCAAGAAGGCAAAACACATGAGGAAAGTTTTGTCGGTTCAGCTTGCGATCAAGAAGGGGAAGACCGAAGAAAAAGATGTGATCAGTTTCTCCTCAAGAGACCTAGAGCGCATTCAGACGCCGCACAACGATGCCCTGGTGGTTACACTCCGCGTCAAAGAATTTGATGTCAAACGGATCTTGATCGATCAGGGAAGCTCGGTCGAAAATGACACTTACTCGGGAAGTCTCTCATAAGCAGTCAACACATTCCATACTTCACGAACAGGAGCTTTTACTGTTATGCTGGCAACAACGCAGCGATGCACGCCTCCGTTTTCCTTCACCCGAAAACTATTTTATCAGCAAAACCGCTATAACAAATGTGCCTTTCCATCAGAAAGAAAGGCCTAGTGAGATGAGTGTAGAGTCAATCAGTTACCAATAGGCCATCAAATCTACGGAGATGAACTTCATCCACCATGCAAGGCCCATCAATTTTGCAAGCTTTCCAAAAAACTCCCCATTTACTGCTCAAGTCACTAGAAGATGTGGACAAACGACCAAAAGAACTGGCATAATTCTCTTTCAACTCTCCAGGAGAAAGTTTATCTTTCTCTGATAAAGCACCATCAATGTCTATGCCAGGGGAAATAGGGAAAGCCATAGATGTTGTACCCAAAATACTTTCCGTGATTAGTGCATTCTGATTCCCTTCGAAATTCCTCTCAGCTCTACAAGCCAAGGCTTGAAGACATTGATACAGAGCATCCGGACACGTTCTTCTTGCTCGGCTCAAGCCTTACAACCCAAGAGAGGACCGACATGGTTGAGTTTTTTATGGCCAATGTCGAAGTCTTTGCATGGTCGCCTTATGACATGCCCGGTCTCGATCCGAGTTTTATATGCCATCATCTCAATGTCTTCCCAGGAGCCAAGCCGATCATTCAGTGAACAAGGAGATCAGCGCTGTATCACGCCGAGGTAGTTGCGGAGGAAGTAAAGAACTTGCTTGAGGCGCGAGCAATTCAGGAAGTGCACTACCTTTGGTGGATTTCAAACACAGTCGTGGTGCCCAAAAAGGATGGGAAGTGGCGAGTTTGCATCGACTATAAGACCGTCAATCGAGCTTATCCGAAAGACAGCTTCCCTCTGCCTAGAATAGACCAGCTTATGGACTTGATGGCTGGACATAACAGGCTCAGTTTCTTGGACGCTTACCGCGACTACCATCAGATTTCCATGCATGGGCCCGACCAAGAGATCACTTCATTCACTACACCAAGGGGACTCTTCTGCTACCGAGTCATGCCTTTTGGTTTGAAGAACGCCGGGGCAACTTTTCAAAGGATGGTAACCAAGATGTTCGCTCCTCTGCTAGGTTGGACAATGGAGGCTTATATTGATGATATGGTGGTTAAGAGCCGGCATCAAGTAGACCATTTGTCCGACTTGGCCGAGATGTTCGCTATTCTCAAAAAGCATAAGCTACGCCTGAATGCGTCTAACTGTGCCTTCAGCGTGGGATCCGAAAAATTTTTGGGTTTCCTAGTCACGAACCGAGGTATCGAAGCAGACCCTACACAAATCCGAGTCGTGCAAGAGTTAAAATAGCCCAGCTCGGCTAAGGACGTGCAGCATCTGGTCGGAATGGCCGCTGCGCTTAATCGATTTATAAGCCGGTCATCAGATCGCTGCCGCCCTTTCTTTCAAGCCTTGAAATCAAAGTTCTCATGGGATGAAGAGTGTGACCGGACTTTGGCTGAGCTCAAGGAGTATTTGTTGTCAGCGCCATTGTTGGTCACACCGGAGCCCAGAGAAGAACTCTACCTTTATCTGGCCGTATCGCAGCATGCAGTCAGTGCGGTGCTTATCCGGTCGGAAGGAATCAAACATCTACCCATCTTCTACGTCAGCAAAACCTTGCTACCGGCAGAGTCAAGGTACTTGCCGCTGGAAAAACTTGCGTTAACTTTGATGATGGCTTCAAGGAAGTTGGCACACTATTTCCATGCCCATACCATCATCGTCTTGATCGAGTTCCCCCTTAAAGCTTTGTTCGAACGGGCAGACTTCTCCGATCGGATTCTTAAGTGGGCGGTCGAATTGGGACAGTTTGATGTGAAGTTCCAGCCACGCACTGCCATAAAAGCCCAGACTTTGGCCGACTTCGTTGCTGAATTCTCACCTGGAATTCATCCGGTATGCCCGGTCGATATTGCCTCGGCAGATGAAGAGTTGAATGCGAGCTCGACTGAAACACCACAGCTTGGCGGCATTGGCGACGCGGAACTTGCGCGCCCCGCCGAAGCACCTTCAGTGTACACGCTACCACAACTCGGCGATGCGATGACCGACCAACCTGCTCTGTCCGGCACCGCATCGCCAAGGGGGGAAGCCGCAGGACCTCTCAGCACAGAGCCTGCAGCTGGCATCATACCGCAACCTAGCGATTCGCTTACGAACTTATGCATTACGGATCAACTTGCTGAGTCCGCCGCCGAATCGCCAAGGGGTGCTGAAGTGGAACCGCTCCGTACAGAACTTGACGCCGCAAAGCCGAGCAACCGACATCCCATCAACCTTCAAGCCTCTCAGGACCCATCTGACTGTTGGAAGCTCTTCGTTGGGGAGATGTGGAAACTTTTTGTTGATGGAGCATCGAACCGTCACGGTGCCGGGCTGGGCATAGTTCTTATTTCTCCAGACGGACTAACTATCGAACATTCTATCACCCTTGGCTTCCCTGCATCCAACAATGAGGCCGAGTACGAGGCGCTATTGGCCGGTCCCAAGAGCGCGCTTCAGATGCAAGCATCCGAGCTAATGGTTTACAGTGATTCCCAGCTTGTGGTTAACCAAGTTTCTGGGGTTTACGAGGCAAAGGATGACAGAATGATGAAGTACCAAGTTCTGGTCAGAGACCACATCAAGCGATTTTAGGCGATCAGGGTCCAACAGATTGGCCGAGAAGAAAACGGCCGAGCAGATGAATTGGCCGGCCTTGCTTCTATGGTCGACAACATATCTCCCAACCCTCTTTTGATTGAATTCCTTCCGAGGCCTAGCATTGAAGAAATCGGGCAGACAGAAGTTCTGTCACACCCCACTTTTTATTACTCGGAGTCATTACCAAATTCATTAACTTAATTCAATTTCAGAGACAACATGCGGAAATAAACTCATACATTCAATCCATAGAAATGAATATAAATACTCTCATTCGTATGCAAAGTAAATGTTACATGAACATACTCAATAAATTGCCCTTGGGCTTACATCATTAAAAATACAAGAAGAAGGGTGTAACCCTTTACAACAATGGCATTCCGCCAACATAACTGAGGCCCCGTGGCCAACAAATAAGAAGATCCAAAACTTGTAGTACACCCTGCTAAACACCTGAAAAAGATTCAACAACGTGGGATGAACATATAGTCCAGTAGGGAACTCAACATGCTCCTTAACAATAACAACATTACAGATAGCTATGATCATGAACACCCATTCTCATACTAGAATAATAATGTGACAGTTTATACAAAATATATATATGAATATATATATGAACTTTTCTTGAAAACAATCATTTAATTCACCGCTATAAGCGATTTATCCTTCCTTTTTCCTTTCATTAACCCCTGTTCCCAATCTTTTATAACATTAACAACTACTTAGAAAAATAGATTCACTAAGCCCATTACTCTTCCATTTGCCACACATACGACAGATGTGCCTTTTCTAAACATATTTGGCATTTCCATGCAATTTCAATTATATCATAATTATCCATACACATCTCTATAAAAAGATAACAACTCAATTACATACATAAAATCAAACAATGAGTCAACTCGTCCCTCCAACACTGTAACAAATACAATCCACAATGTTTCCAGATACACTGAAACAATAACAAAACAACACTGCACTACTCACCACAATAACAAAGATACACTTCTCACCACAATCTACCAGTTTACCAGGCGCTAGCTGGAAGGGTATGGTACCTTAGATTATCAGCGCGTCAGTTCTCCAGGCGCTAGCTGGAAGGGTATGATACCTCTGATTATAAGCGCTAAACACATAAGTGTGTGGAGTCCATCCCCTATCTTCTCACACACACTGGAGTACAACCCCTCTCTTCTCCCCAACCGGTATACAAATATAATGTAATAAAGCATTTCATTACATATGATGTTCAATCAACAATGGTGCAATACATACACAACAATTCAATCACAACATTATCAACCTCCACCGATGACCAAAATCTCCAGATGCATGCATATTATACATCTATTAACAGGCCCAACTAATATGAGATTACAAAACTCAGCAACAACATGAACATGGTAGTTAAAGCTATACCCCTCACAAGTGTGTTCAATACTCAAGATACAACATTCCAGTTTTATTATACTTGTTTCAAAATACCTTTCTCATTTCACAAAATGAATTCCACTTCCTTTATTTTCACAAAAATCAATCCTATGGACAAAAGCCATACTTCATTTAAATTCACTACATTCTTTTCAAAGCCATTTCAAACTAATTATGCACATTAAGTCATAAACACTAAGTTAGGGTCTTTCCTTCCTCTTTCTCAATATTGACCAAAAAGGCCCAATTAACATCAACAAACAACAATAACCACAATTAGGACTCAAAATACCTAAGTATTTGCCCAAAGATCTAAACCCCTCAATTAATCTATTAAATCAAATAAGAAAATTTAGGGTTTCTTCTCCTTTCAACAACCACATGCTAATTAACACTCCAATTAGCCCAAATCATAACTAATGATAATAAACCCAAATTCAACAACCAACCCCAGGTTCAGTCCCAATGATTTTCACAAATCCAACATGATACCATTTTTATGCAATACAAAAACTACCACATGTCTATCTATAGATGAAGTATTGAGAAGAAACAAGGAGAATCCCTACCTCGAACAAAGAACACAAATGGAGAAGATGACCCAAAATCCAAGTGCTCCAAATCCACTATTTTTCAGATTAGAATGAAGCCCAAGCCGCCCTCTATCTTTCTTACAAAGAACTTAAGATGGATTCACACTAGAAGTAGATGAAAACCTAGAAAGAAGATGAGTTTAGAGAGAGAGAAGTCGTACCTAGGGTTTGGAAACTAGAAGAGGATGAAAAGACTGATCAAAACCCGCTGCTGCCTATTTAAACTGGACAGGCTCGCTCGAGCGAAGACTTGGTCGCTCGAGCGACCAGACACAGGAAAGCCTCGCTCGAGCGAAGAAACTCTCGCTCGAGCTAAGAAACACTGCTCTCAGGTCTAAACTAGACGCAAACTCTCGCTCGAGCGAAGAAACCCTGGCTCGAGCCACTTGACACAAAACCCAACCCTCGCTCGAGCGACCAATCCAAATTCTGGACAGTAACACCTGGTTTCCAAACCCAACCAATCTAAAACAAACCTGCCCAACACATTCCGGTAACTCAAAAAGAGAAAATAAAGGATGACAACCACAATTATACATTGAGAGAATCCAGGGAACCTAAGTCCGGATACAACAACCAAAAGGAGAAAGACCGGGGTCACTATAACCTCCCCCCCTTAAAGAATTTCGTCCCCGAAATTAAGGGTCGCCAAAACACAAAGCCGACTGATCTCACAACACACCTTTAATCCACTCTTACCAGAGAAATGACTAACCAAGGGAAACATTCCAAACGACAACACTTAGGTACGAAAACCTCAACAACCCAAACCTTTCCCCAAACAATGACCAACAACTGACTAGCACAACAAGCTAAATCACTATTCAACAACATAATTCTCAACCATACGACCAAAGCAAATCTTTTGAGCAAATTATAGGAAAACACTTTCTTGCTCAAGAGACATTTCTCAATGTACACATTCCAAAATAAATCTTTCATTTTCCATGCGAAACTCAATAGTTTTGTAAATATATATATATATATATATAATTTTTTTTTTTCAACCACGGTGTTATCCAAAACACATAATCATCCACAATTTATTTGCCAAAAGATTCATTTGGAATTCCTCAAAACCCTTGAATTAAATCAATTTCTCAACAACGCCCTTAAATAGCCCAAACACTAGAAAAAAAATTTTGTTTTCCAATTCTTTCCAAAATAACACTATCAACAACCATCACGCGCACAGTGATGCCACAACCAACACAGAACATAACATTTCTATAATGGTAGTTAATAGAAATAACAACAATACTATCAACACATAAGGCATAAGAAATTCCTGATTTTGCAATTCTATTCCGCCTCTTTTTACTTACCCAATTAAATACATACACCCGGCTCAATGGTAGTTAAAGCTATACCCCACACAAGTGTGTTCAACACTCAAGATATAACATTCCAATTTTCTTATACTTGTTTCAAAATACCTTTCCCATTTCACAAAATGAATTCCACTTCCTTTGTTTTCACAAAAATCATTCCTATGGACAAAAGCCATACTTCATTTAAATTCACTACATTCTTTTCAAAGCCAATCCAAACTAATTATGCACATTAAGTCATAAACAATAAATGATATTTAGTGGCACGTTTTTGAAAAATGTCACAAAACGATAAACATAAAAGGCTCTAGTGACATTTCAATGAACAAGTATCACAAAACTATAACAAAAACACACTTTAGTGACACTATACTAGTGGCATGTTTTTAGAAAATGCCATAAAAATAATATTTGGTGACACATTTAGATAAATGCCACAAAGCCACAAACATATAAGGCTCTAGTGGCATTTCAATAAAGAAATGTCACATCAATTTTATGGCATTTTATAAAATAATGACACAAAAAATTATGTTCGTGACATTTACCAATAGATACCACTAAACTTTAGTAGCAATAGCA